TAATAAATAATAATAAAGAAATACCATTCAGCACTAGCTACCTCTCGAATTTCTTCCATACTCTGAATGTTCTCCAAGCTAGCCTGCAGATCTTATCAAACTAGGGTTAGGAACCACACTCAGAGAAGGGAAACAAAAAGGAAATCTCTTTTATGTCTCCAACCTGGACACGGTAAAGTCTCTCTGACAAACTACGAACTTCATCACATGCTCTCCTTTCAGCATTTGATAGCATCTCATTTTCATGCTTCAAAACTGACACCTGCAGTCAAATAAAATGTTATCAGTATCATTACGAAATTAATAAAATTGTTAGCTCTACCTAGCACAACTTTTCACCTCCATAGATAGCTTTCGAGACAGCTCCTCAGAAGCATTCAAAGACTCTGAACTTTCACGCAGCTTTCGTTGATACTCAACTATCAACTGGGAAAACTCCACATTTCTTGCTAAAATTCCGTTAGTTTCTTCTCTCTGTTATGTCGCAATAAGAGAAGAAAAAACATAAAAGCAGTTAATGTGGTAAAGTATCTAACGGAGAAAGAAAATATTATCAGACAAACTGACAAACCAAGTTCAGAAAGGAATGACAAACATGCTTCTATGAGAGAATAAAAGAACAAAGAGATAATGAGGGTCCTTTAAATGCAGGAGAACCATCCCTTTGCAACATAGACAAAGGAATCCCCTGAAAGAAACCATGAGCAGTAGCCCCTAAGGATGCAAAAGATAACATTCTGTTCTCAACAAAATTAATTTGACTGGTTGAAAACTATCTTTGAAAATTCTTGCGTCTCATTCCAACCATAAAAATACATAACTGTGCAAAAAATACTCCCCCTTCCTAATACTTTATGCTCCTTATTCCTCCCAAACCACAAAGTTTATAGATTACAGACATGTCAAAGATTTGAGAGCAAATCTATTTAATACAGGGGCAGGATGAACTAACGTAATAGTAGCAAGAAAAATAGGTTACCTGATGTTCATTCTCCTTCATAATGCTCTCAAGTTTCTCTCTTGAAAAATTTGCTTCCATTGCCAACTTATTGCATTCTGAACGTAACGTGATTATCTCATTCCTGGAAACAGAAGAGAAACACATGTAGGGTAGCCGCTAATATAGAACATCACTAGACGTGATGCTATGAGAATATAAATCCCATGTATTGCCACAAACTAGTTCCATGAGCATGAAAAACAAGTTTTTTTTTTTGACACACCATGGAAAACAAGTTATTACTGTTGAAAGTCCCTAAATTATTGGATTAATACTGGGCGGTGTAAATATCCTAGTATCCTCTTTGAGTTAAGTTCATTTAAGATTTCTTGTCCTACTGGGTAGAATTATGAGTCAAGGTAATAAACCCTCTTGTAATCATCTATGAGACATAGTTATCAAAACAATTACTCAAGGAATTGTTCTAAATAACTTAGATTGTAGGATCAAATCAAACCTCACATAGGATACTGAAGGAATCTTTTCTTAAAAGTGATATATAAAGAACTGTACATACATTATCAATGTTTGACCCCTAATCCCTAAATATAAAGATTAGCAACAATCTACTGTCTGCTTCAAAAACACATCACAACCTCAAACCAAAGTCAAAAACTATATGCACTAACATTGAGTACAGCATCCCTGGAAACTTTACCTTGATTTTGCCAAATCATCTTCGAGACACCTGATCCTTTCAGCTGATTTTTCTTGCGATTTTCTGGTAGATTCCTGAATCATATAATTCAGCAGAAAAATTACTGTGCATCAAGGGAACACAACAAAAGATGATGACTCACCACCTCCAGCCTTCAAACCACAGAGAGGAGAAAGAGAATCATAGCTGTGACTTATACCTGAGAACTCTCAAGAAGCTGTAAGAGGTCCTTCCTCCCATTCTCTGCAACACAGGAGCATTGGGTATCAGTTTTGAACATTAACACAACACCACTAAAATATTGAACATTAAACACAGAAAATAAATAGGGTATCATATTCTCTGGGCAGTTCCAAAGTATAAATTTGAGCAAAATGCTGTCCTATATATTTTCCCTAGAATCACCTTTATGGTAGACTAATTAAATGAAACAAAAATTCCCAAGTCACAAAATTAGGTGACAGGTTTTGGTGAATAATAAATGCAGAAAATAATTATGATGTTATATCTTTCGTGCAGTTAGAAACCACAAAGCACAATCTGAGGAAAATGCTCTCTCTTCAAAAACTTGGAGGGAAAGTTGTAACATATTTTCCCAAGAATCACCTTTATGGTAGAATAAGTAAACCAAACAAGGACTCCCAAGGCACAAAGTTAGGTGACATTTAACTGCCCAAAGATTCTTTGATGTATAAGCACCCATTTATCTTCCACTTATAAGACTTTGCATAAAGCTACCTAGAGCAAAACATGTAAGGAGTTCTTAACATTTTATGGCAGTGCTTTAACAATTACAAAGCAATGGAAAATGGAAGAAAAATTCACTTGTTACTCACAAAGAACTATGGACCTTAAAATTGGAATCAAACTTGGAAGATTAACTATCAGAATTCTAACACAAATGCAAACTTATTACTCTGAAGTTCATGTCTTTCTAGAAAAAGAAGTATTCTTGGTGATAGAATAGGAAAAAGTGTATAATGGAGGATAAGAGATCCTCCTAGAAAAGAAAAGGAAGAGAAAGAAAGGAAAAAATAAAAAATAAAAACAGACAAAGAATAGCAGAATCTCTTTGCAAAATAGACAAAGAGATATCCCTAGAATGACCATGCAATTTTTTCAGATGAAAACATGACCATGAGACTTAGGTTAAAGAACGTCCAACAAAAATTGTCCTATGTGGACTTGAAAGAGAATACATTCATCTCCAATATCAACCCTACCAAAACAGCCCAACTCTATCTATTCCTCCCAAAACCACAGAGATGGGAAGAGAGAGATCTATGAGCATGACTTGTCTGGAAAACCCTCACGTTATCATGTCTGTTCCAAAACAAGGGGCCTCGAAAACCTAGTAAACCACAAGCCATTCTGCAAGAAAATCCTACTTCTATTTCCCCAAACGAACCCAAAAACAGCAAGATATCCGTCAATTAAATATAAAATTTAAGGGAAAATCAAGATCTTCCAATTCAGGTTTCTGTTTTATTTTCTTAATATCATCTCCAGCAGCAGCATATTAGTTTCCTCTAAGTCACTAAATATTCAGTTTACCAATTAAACTAATGTTTCTCTGATATATGATAAATCATCTCCAGAGATAGAAGTAAAAAATTTACAACCTCTAGCGGGCTCAGCAGGACGAGAACATGATGAATTAATTTTATGCTCCTCTTCATACAACCTTTTGTACATGCCAACCTTTCAAGACAAAACAAGAAAATAAAAGTAAATAAAATGTAAATACCCAATATTTTATTTAAATTTAGTCCCTAACTTGTAAGGGCATAGAGAATTATTTTACGAGAAACAATTGGACTTAAAAATGCTTACAGATGTATGTAGTGATTCAATCATCTGTGCTTGCTCTTCAGCCCTCTCCAAGACTGCAGCAACTTTAGATGCAGCTTCATCAGTCTTTTTCTTCACCTCCATTTCGAATTTCTCCTGTAATTCCAGAGTTGTTTGTCAACAAGGATTTTGACGATCAGAACTATGATTTCAACTTAGTCAAGCAATCCTTAAATAGAGAAAAAAAAAGGATTCATCTGCAGTACCTTGAACTCCATTTCACTATTTTCAATCTGGTTGGTAAGACTGCGTACCAGGCTTCTCAGCTTCACATTCTGCTCAACTAGTCCATTTAGATCCTTAAAGGTCAACTGTAAACACCATTCCAGAAACAGATTTCAAGAAATGACTTGAAATTTGGAATATGAGATAGCTTCCTAAAGAGTTGTTGGTGAAATTAAGTGAAAATTACGAGGTGCTCCGAAATGATCTCATCCCCATCCAAGCTCATCTCAACATCAGCAACAGCCACAGACTCATTTGTGTTGTTGGGTCCTATAGATCCACAACGAAGTTGAATATTGCGACACTCCTTCAGTAGAACTGTAACCTAGAACATCCACAACCCAAAATGTTAGAAAAGAAATAACAGCATGGAAAAAAAAAATAGACACGCTTATAGGTAAAGCAGGAACAGTAAAAGCCACATATGGGCTACACGTGATAGTTGAGAACCAGTACTATAAACAAGGAGGTACGCTGACTCATCAAAATTTCCTTTTCCAATTTTCCTATATAGATATTTTTGCCCATCTTTCCATACCAGAGAACGTGGATAAGAGACTTGGAACCATTTCTTGCAGCTCCTTCCAGGACGATTTCAGGGAGCAGAGAAACTATCATTTAGCAGCTGGCACACTGTTGAACAACCTTTTCCTGAGGATGGATTAGGAATTAGATCCCTAGTGTCTGCCAAAAAAGTATATTGGCCAAGTGGCCATTGAAAATTTCTTTCTAGAGGTTCCTACAGAACTTGATTAGAGGCAAACATGGTTTTAATTCAAACGATTGACGCTCAAAGATGGGTAAAGGAGCTCATGGTTAGAACTTGCAGATGGATTGGCAAGAATTAAAGTGACATAATTGCAGCTTCAAGGTTTTAGTTTGGTCATTGGTGTTTTGGCCGACTGTTAAAGGATACTTTTACCCATATTTTACATGTTGCTAGATGCAAGGAACCTAGGGGTGAAGGATTGTTCACTGTGTATAGTGATGGAAGACAAAGACTAAGAGTTTGTTTGGGAGAGGGAAAAGGGATGGAATGGAATTGAAAATTTAGGGAGAGAAATATTTTCCCTTGCTTGAAGAATATTCATTAATATATATTTCTACCCCAAATTGGAGGAGAATGGATGGAACGGAAATAAATGAAAATTTTAATTTGAGTGATTGACTGAATTACGTCCATTCTGTTATTATGTTTACAAATAACAGGGTTATTATTCTCTTTTGCAGAGTAATAATTTTATGTTTCTTCTTCTTTCCCCTCCTATCCAAACAAGAGGAAACATTTTCTACTCATTTCCATTACTATTCAACCAAACAACAAAAGAATATTTTTGCTCCATCCCATTCCATTCCTTTACTTACCCCTCTCTCCCTCTCCTCTGAATAAACCTTATTGGGAAAACCAACATATCGGCAAACAGAGAAAGATAAGATCACATAATTTTGATAGTGAAAGCTGACAAAAAGTCTAGAAGACAAACAATTAATTAGGCCATTTTCAAAATATGAATAGGAGAAAAGAAGAGGAGATAGAAGAGCAAACCCAAAATGTACACAACCTAGAAGTAAATAGATTATGCACAGATGAGGAGGGGAAGTGCCACTATACATTCAAGACCATGTTTATCTGTGGAATGAAAGATGTCTAGGAATAATTTCGTGGAAGACATGTTATCAGGTACAGCCACAATGATATCTTGATATCTCTCTCAGGAATGAAATGCCAAAATTAGATCACTGTCTCACATATCATTTGTGTCGATTTGATATTACATCAAAAAGCAAATAGGATAAGTACATAAAAAAAACTTGACCTAAGAGCTCTCAATTCTTACCTGTTTCTGAAGGTCAATTTGATATTACACCAAAAAGCAAATAGAATAAGTCCTAAAATAAACTTGATCTAAGAGTTCTCCCTTGTTACCTGTTTCTGAAGGTCAATGATCTCCTTTCTAGCCAAAACATTTTCACGTTCATGTCTCCTCAAGTCAGCCTAGGAATTAAATGAGAAGAAGATATAGAAGATGAGTAACACAAAGAAAAGATCTAATTCATCCCAAATTGTCAAAAAAGACCTTCAATTCCAAAATGATTTTATCCAAACTTGACCGCTCTGAAATAGAGTTTTGTAATTTTTGGTTGATAAGAGAGTATGCTTCAACCATTCTCTCATATTCCGCTGCAAAGAAAATAATAGCATTAGCAGACCGAATATTTTTCCCAAACAGGAATCTTTGCAGAAAGGGGAAATATAAATAAATCATTAAATATCCTCAAAGGTTTACGCCTGTTATTATGATAAGATATGCAGATCTACCTTACCTTTGACAAATTTATTAGAGCACATTATCATAAATTTAGCCATTTCTTGACCTGGCATATGCCAACTGTCAAATGTTGCATAAGCAAGAGGACACAGCATCAGACAATGTTTGCATATATCATTTTCATAATCTCATTTCTGGAGCAGACAACGAATTGACTTGCATAGTACAAGAAAGTTGTCTGATCTAGAATGCAGCATCACTAGTCACTCTTACCTAAGTTTTATTTGAGTGCCTTATCACGTTTTCTTTTTTTTTTTTTTTTCTTTAATGTGTCTTTATTGTATGTAAGTACTTGTCTTATAAGTTCGTTGCAAGATACCATTTCAACTAATATTTTTAGATCTGCTATTCAAATGGGGTAGTGATGATCCCTAC